GTCGTGCTCGACACATGTCATCCTACCCACTCGTGCTCTTTCTTCCCCATAGTCCCTATCACCAAGCTCCGCCCTTCCCCCTTGTTCTCGCCCTGTCCCCAAACCCGCATCTGCCCCTCACCGGCTCCATCCTTGCCCGACGTGACCATCTGCCGTGTGATTCGAGCCTGCTTGTAGACGTGATCTTTATGTTTGTCGAACACCGTGCGTAGCCCCTTGGGACTTCGCTCCTCATCCCAATGCCGTCGAGGCCGTATAGATTACATCTCGCTCGGCCACGATGCCACGCTCGCAGCTCTAGTAGGTTCGCATCGATCGTTCGGGTTGGTAAGGGGCGCGCTCGTGAGGCAGTAATCGGACGTCTCGTCGATGTTGAATGCTGGCCCGAGGGCTCGGTCAGCGAAACACAGGAGGCGCAACGGCCTACGGTCTTGCGCATCCACAGTGACCATTTGGCTAGGTACTTGATGTCAGTGGAAGTCTGCACAAGGTCGTGCGGCCTTGTTGCTTACCAACTTGTGCCTGATGGCCTGGAGCCAGAGGAGACGCCCAGCGCGCCGTCTACCACCGTACTGCGAAGCGACCAGACTACCTCGCGTATGGTTCCTCTGGTGTTCAGGAAGCCCGTGCCAAGCCTCATCGATCAACTCAGTGTTGTAGGGCCTTCGTGAGACCCTGTCTTCACAAAGGTGGGTTTGCGCGACGGCGCATAACTCCACAGCATCTGATTCCATTGCATTTCTGAAAAGTGGGATCGAATCGTAATCGACTTGGGTATACAATGGCTATACGACTGGTCGGAATGTGAAGTTGTGGTTGGCGTCATGTCCTGCCCTTGGCCCAAAGATATGCGACGGCGTGTAGCTCCACCATCACGACTCCAATTTCGTTTTGGAAAAGCGCAAACTGTCCCCCATGAAGCCTTTCATACGACGGGTATGCGATTTGTCGTATCGTAACGTGGTGGTGGTTGCCATGCCCCGCCATGTCCGTTGCAGCATACGCGAAGTGAAATTTCAGGCGCAACGTTCCTTTGCAATGACGATGCGACTCGCCTGACGTTTTTGCATGTCTGCACCTTCAATCTGAGTCTGCTCAGTGCTGATTGAAAGGTATGGTAGCTCGTGGCGGGCGCCAGGCGTGTCGACGGCTTTTCGTCGGCGGGGAAAACGCATCGTCGGGAAGCGCAACGGCGACGGCGTTGCGTAGAGTCGCACACCCATTGCGATAGGAAGCGAACAAAGTCTTGTGATTTGATGCGAGGCGGAACGCCCAGGTTGACATGGAACGTAGTCTGTGTAGACGGGCGGTGTTGAGCATCCTAGCGTGGATGTAGCGACTCACCCAACTTCAGCTGGCCTGTGTCTTCACTAAGCAGAACGCCAAAACCCTACTAATCGTACGTGCGACCAACCTCGCTGAGGAGGATACGTACAAGCTACCCACGACAGAACTCCGATAGTCCAGTATGTTTGCCACCTACAGCATGAAATCATAGGTCGCTGCAACTTCTGGCAGAAGACCAGGACTGGTACATTAGCATACGAAATGGAATGTTGCATAGCTCTATCTACGCGTATAACTCCTAGCCATATTAAGGCATACTTAGTCGGCTCATCTTAGTCTTATGAATTTGTCCACTCCCGTTGTAATTGGCCCTGTCAGGATCCATGTTTCCTGATATGGCAGACAATAGCCTGAGTGAGAGGGAGGTAGAGATGCGGACTCGTAGTGAGCGTGAGTATTACAGGGCCTATTCAGGATTTCGAGGGGAATACGACTGTCTACTACGGACAATAGCAGCTGTTCGAGCTCACATCTTGCCGCGCCTCAAAGCTGAATCTTGACCAACATCGTTTTTGGCATCATAACACTCATCCAACTACCCATCAAACACCACGATGGCTATCGTTTCGAACCTTTCGCCCACGAGCACCTTCCTCTTCAGCGGGACCCGTTGTCGAACCTGCGCGCAAGTCATTCCCGACGACAGAACGGGCTTTTGTGCAGCCCACGACGAACGAGCCAGCAGTTACGAGGCGATCCTCGGTCGGTGGTGCTGTGAGCTCCAGCAGAAACTCGAGCACAAGCAACGAAAGAGGTGGAATGCCCAGGGCAAGCCTCTACCCTCACTGAGTGGAAAGGCGACGGCGTCTGAGGATGCCCTTTGGCAGAGGGCAAATCTGTTAGCGCTATGGTGTGAGATGAGCCTGGTGGAGTTGGAAGCCGATCTGGAATTTGGGCTCCAAAAGCACGACTGGATCGCGAATATTGAAGAGCTCAAATACGACATGGGCGAGCAAGTGGGCAACCTCCTCCACTGCGCTTTCAAGATCACCCTGGAGAACAAGAAGACCTTTGTGTTCGATCCAACTGGGATCCAGTTTGGCCCTGAATGGGCGGTTCTCACTCCCTGGGATGAATATGTCTTGGATAGAGAGACGGAACTCACTATTCAAGACCAAGTCCGCTTGCAGCGACAGACCGGGGAGATGCTGCATCAAGTTGTACGCCCATTGGGCCGGAACGCAGACTGGCAGATCCTTGAGGAATGGGAAGGCCAATACTAACTCGCTCCCGGGCAATGTAAGTTCCTCGCAAACATCTGACAGCGTCGTTCGGTCTCCCAAACTGGGTAGATCGTGTCCTCGTATGGAGATGGGAAGCAGGGCTTGCTTGCCTGGGAGTACGACCGAGAGGAGGGCCCCCGTGGCGTAGGGTCGGTCGCTCACCGGACTTGTCCACCGGTGCTAAGAGCCCTCAACTGCCGCGGCGTCCTGTTGACGTTCGTGAGCCGAAGACAAAGGTCAGCTATCACCTCCAGCTTCCACCAAGCCCAAACCACGCCAACTCATCTCGACTTGAGCATCATTTGCTCCAAACCTACGAACCTCGATGCTTACAGCAAACTGCGACAAGCTCATTCACATCACTACGCGGCGATTCTGCTCCCCTCTATTCGCGAGCTTCGACAGCAGTCACGACACGACCAGTCTCGACCTCTCTCTTCGCATTGCGCGCGCGCGTCTGTCAGCAAACCAATCCTACACAATCTACGAGGCTTCGCGACGAGCTGACTGTTGCATATACTGGGTGGCTGCATGATTGGGTGTTGGCGAGACGTTGGTGTTGCGGGAAGGCAAAGACATGTCGTCGGAAAGATGATGTTCGGACATGTGCTCAAGCGTGATCGGATGATGCCTTCCGCCCCAACCTCGGCGCAAACTTCAGCACGAACGTCTTCCTCGATGCGGCACGGGCAGCTTGCCATAGATGCTTCGATCGCGAGTTGCGTGATCTGTTTGCGGTATCCCTCATCAACATCCAGAGTCTTTTGTACTTCGATATCGCAGAATACCTACGGAGACATTTACAGCGCGGAACAAGGCCCTTACCAACCCGACTTTTCTGCAGCGGCGGGCTTCCTCTCCACCCTGATGCCCACGGCGCCGCTTCTGTCAAAGAGACATCTTCGGCCGACCACATGAACAGAATCATTGTGCCCGTGCCAGACATGGGAGTCACAAGGGCGAGTCGCTTGCAGTCATCAGATGATGAGCCGCATGTGCTTAGATAATTTGGGTCACTTCGTACGGTACTGAATACTTGGTGCGATGCTCAGGTAACGCGATTTACGTGCTGGCGCATGTAGTTATCCAATCAATGTTGCTACTCAATTTGGTCTTGCCATGTGTCGCTCTCGCGACTTGTTCCACGATGCGCAGTGATGTCAACGGTGATGTACTCAAGTTCTCAGGTAAACAATGACGTCATTGGGAAGCATTATCGTCGGCTGCTACTCGCTTGAAGGCCACCAACAAGCCCAGCATCAAGGCTACGCATGATTCACCGCAAGCTATAAGGTCAAGATGCTTGGCTGTAAGATGTGTATCATATGGAAACATGCTGTAATTTGAACTACATACGAGAGCACGAGCACAAAGCTCGAGATTGACTTGGAGAAGTTACAGTGGAAAATGTAGGCAACTATCGACTGGATCTGACGATTGAAGAAGTCAGATCACGCGTCGTTTCAGCTGTCACTTCAATCTAGGCGATCTACCATTGAACCTGAGAATTGAGATCTCAGGCTCATTTGGATATTGCCGTTCTTTGTCCCACCATCGCAATGCCATCCTTGTTCTTCCGCCTTTATCCATGCGCAACCATCTTTCAGACATTGTTGTTGTCGTTGAAGAAGACCTGTGCTGAGTTAAAAAAGTTCTACTGAGTTGCGAGCGAGTAAGGAAATTGACACTGTCAGACAAGGCTCGGTTTTTTTCCGCATCGTCAGGAGGAATGCCCCAGGACTGAGCGTTGAAAACAACAGTGGTTTGTCATCACAGTGTCAGTCGAAAGCCCTCCAGTGTGCAAGGATTGGGAAGGGGATGGGGAAGACTTAGCTCGTTGAGATCCTTGGAATGAGACAGTGTCGGAGTCGAGCGCCCAAGGCGAGAGTGCGACAGCAGAGTGTCGCATGGGGGGACTAGAGGCGTTAACTGTGATCATGAGAGGAGGGGGTAGAGGAGTGGAGTGAAGCGCCCTCAGGTATCCAAGTGTTTAGTTGATCATTAGGGATTTCCTTCAGCAACTACAACTGTCATCTTGGGGCGCTTGCGAGTAGCGATGACGCTACAGCGTGTGGATGAAGGGGGCAGGAAGGGGAGACTCAGCTTGGTATTGTGTAGTATTGTAGCGCTTGGCGCTGGCCGTCGTGGTCACTTGGGGTGAGAAAAAAGCTCGACGTGACTTGGTGTAGTGGAGGTGACCGGGGAGGAAGGCAGCCTGGTGAGGAGCAAATTTATACGCGCAGGGCACGTGCTGCGCTCGCGGCGTTTGGCCTTGATAACTCCTCCGCGTCGAAGACAGCTCCCCAACCAACACACTCCATACCAAAAGTGAGTATCCTCTTCTTTTTGATCACTTTGAGATCAAGTAGCTGACAGAAGTCTTTAGTCACCACTACCACCACCACACACATCACCACCACTACACACAACATGACCACCACTGCCCCTGCCCCCATCGTCCGTCCCCGCCTCTCCTCCACGCTCTTTGCGGAGCGTGACGGTCTTGAGCAGGACATCCGCAACAACGACGCGAAGATCGCCCGATTGGCCGTCTCGCCCAGGTGGAACTGGCTGGAGCTCCGCACAGCCCGCATCGTGAAGCGGAGCTTTGAGCGCAGCCTCATCCTCTTGGGCATCGAGATCGATCTCGCCTTGGAGCGCGAGATCCAGAACATGGAGTGGCTCATGTCACAGAGCCAAGTAAGTTCTTCGAGTCTGATTGAGCCTTCATCCGGTGAACTAATGTCTGCTCAGGAGGAACTCCGTGCCCGCATCGATCTGGCCTTCAGGACGGTCTACTCCCGGTAGGCTCGTACGCCGCGGGAGGAAAGAGGAAGAGGAGGATGACAACGACGATGAAGAAGAACCGCCCCTACCACCCATTCACGTACCTGTAACGGGTCTCCCCCATTGGCTTAGGCTACCCATACCGTCTTCAATGCCTGTTGCTGGGTACGAGGACGGTATACTTGCTAGGCAACTGGTCTTAATTGACTGCGCGCTAGGCGAGGACAGTGGTATGCCGATGCGACTATCTGTGCAAGCGGATAGTTGGGACTTTGGCAAAGCTTCTGGCGTTGAGTGCCGCCAAAGATAAGTAACCTTTCGAGGCGAAACCAAATGAAGCTCGTGATACTGGTCGAGCGTCCCCAACATCAACAAGAGGTAAGTGCGTATTCTCTTGGCTATGTACTGTCGGATAACTGCATGAGCTCTAGGATCTATGTCGTCCTCCCGCGTTGTCGACGTTCCCATTCGCACTCGACCTCGACAACATGTCCACTCCGCGATCATTCGTTGCCATACCTCGGGTCGGTGTAGTTCAGGGAAACAGCGGTTCACGGGTGGGCAAAGTTGCGCAAGGAGATGGCCTGCTACAGTGGGCATCCAGACATGGTGTCTTTTGGCGGAGGTTGAATGGCAAGACAGCATCGTGCGGAATAGGGGTTACGGTGCCTGCTCCGATGGGCATAGCCGGAGTGCCTTCAGATAGACTATATGCTCCAATGACACTCAGTCTCAATAAGCTCGTTGATCCTTGTATGCCATGGTGCTTGTGCGACTGCGATAGATGTTTTCTTCAAGTAAAACTGGTTCAGTGCTACCTGTTATCGTGCAAGGCCACAGGCGCTCAACAGGTCCGAATTTGGCTCAAACTCGAAAAGTTCAATTGCATTCATCGCTGCTTGATCAGTATCACGAGTGCGGAAGTCCGCTGTCAGAGACTGTCAAGACAAACTACGTCATTTGACGAATCCCAACACCATCCGCGCGTCAACCGTGGCAACGACGTCGTGAGTGATAGAACTCGCTATAAGCTACATTCTAGCTTTTTTATCTCTGAAATGCGACTTGTGATGGTCTTATCGCAAGTCTGGCATGATGGCACCTTAGACAAGACCATGACCGCGGTAGGGGCCTTAGCGCGGACTGACTGGCGCGAGCGCACTGCGCCAGGGTCTGGTATACTGGGCACATTCGCACATGAAATCCGTTCGAAGCTCATACTTCTGGCATGCTCTGACGCAGCTGTACACCGAACTACATCCTGTCGAAATCGGAGTAGCTACCTTGGTCGCGCAATTCTGGACCAGCCAGGCCATCTGGATGCAAAGCTGGCATATTCGCGCCCACCGTTCCCAAAGTCGTCTCAGAATTGGATGCAAAATCCCCAAAATGCCCTCCTCTCTGAGATGATCGATCGGTCGCGGGGAGAAGTCGTTCAGCCGATCTGTTGGAGGCTCAGTTGGTTGCGCGGCTGCTGCGTGGGACATCAGCAATGGTAACGGCCTGAGTAGATTAAAATGATACTCGTCAACGCTTGCGCATATCATCAAGTAATGCAAAGTTGACAGTGAGCTCAAAGTTGTTGACACGGCGTGCTGGACACGTCACCTTTGGATGTAAACATAACAACACCACGAAATGCTGTCAACACGACACTTGCGATGCTTCGCGAAGCCACCTCGTCATTCCAGCCAACTTCAGATGGTCACAATTCCAATTAATATCTCATGGGTATTGGTGGTATTGGATTCACAAAGCAGCAGTTAACGCCAAAAGATCAGAAAATGTCAGTGACTGTAATCATGCAATCGAAGGAAGAACTTCTTCCTCAAGCAACTCGCAAGCGAGAAGACTCAATGAAAAAGGTCGCGTCAGCCAGAAGTAGTGCAATACTGGCGACACTGTGCCAGTGAGTATGAGCAAGCCCAGTGACCCACCAGCTGGATGTAAAAATTGGAGGAGAAAAACATGCAAAGTGAGCAGCTAACGCGCGCGAGAAGCAAGGACGCAATCGCGCTAGACTCCTCACATATACGAATATATGCATGCGGTGCAGGTATTAAGCTGCTGGTGCGAGAGTAGGAGGGACGGGGGATGAGGGGTTTATATACTGGCCTGCCGCTTGGCGTCCCAGCGCTCACGTGATCTGACGCTCGGCTGTTATAGTCTGAAAGGTCTCTGTCATGGCTTATCTTCGGGAGCAATCTGGGACATTGGCCGTGGAAATTTACAGTGACGTGTCGAGCCGCCCAGGTTGCCGCACTCAGATCAACGTCCGTGCGCTTCTGGGTTCATCAAGTGCTGCCGCCTCTATCTCCCTTCGCCAGAAAACTACTTTCGTCGTCACCAATTTTTGAAACAAACAAGTCGCTGCTTCGGCCTTGCGCGATGTCTAGCTAGTGAGGACTTTTCCGAAGCTTACATCCATCTGTGGTCCGGGACTGCCTTTGGGTTCAGTCCTAGACTCAATTTTTGAATACCCTTTACTTCTTTTCATCGCGTTATCTGGCTTGCCAGTGACTTGAAGAAGAGACAGGAGGGCTACGTTGCTGCTTCACATCATATGGCTCCCCCCGCAACGACCATGTCGTCGGTAAGTGACTTTGTTGGCGGGCTGTTTGTAGTATCAGAGTACTCAGTAGCTCTCAACTCATATCGTGCCAGAAGCTCTGGAACACTTCAATGGATTGAATCACGCCAGCATGTTACAAGAATTGGATGGAGAAAGTGCAGAATCGTGTCTTATTGTGGTGTATCTACACCAACGCCCCAGCGCCCTCGCTATGCTCCGAACCCATATCTCTCAGAAGGTGTATGCCGAATTAACGGCGGCGGTCTTGCAGCTTTGCGCGGAGGAATGCGCGGCGGAAGGCGCGGTCGCGGGCGGCGGGACGAAGACGATTCCAGAACTAGAAGTAGAAAGTCAGCATTGTGACAACTTTGGACTGACGAGCCAAAAGCACACAAAGATAGGAATACTCACGTTCTGCAGGCGCCTGGCCTCCTCTGCCTCAGCGCGAGCAACCTGCTCCCTGTCTTGCTCCTCCTTCTCCTCCTCGTTCATCTTCCTCAAGTACATTTGGAGGTAGTTGTACGCGAAGTTGGTCGCGACCCTTGACAGGCCCATGTTGGCCGGAACTTCCTCTCGCGCACGCGCAGCGACTCCCAAGTACCAGTGCATCCGGGCCAGTGCATAGGAGGCTGATGCGTCGTCCATAGTGATTTGGTGATGGTTTGATCGTTGTGGGGTTGGTTTTGAGGTTGTTGGTGAGGTTTTGTTGAGTCTGTCGCAATTGTCAGCCTTGATTATTATGATACTCATGCAGTGTAGCACTATCTCAATGATAGTTGGGATTCAAAACTTACTGTATGAGGAGTTGGTGGTGCTGGAGTTCGATCAAGTCCAGCGACGAGAAGATATAGGACTTGGGCCCGCGCAACACGTCAATAGCAACGAATTCGGACAATAGATATCAGACTATCAGCAGAGAGCTACATCCATTGCTATTGTGCTTAAAGCTTTCAATATGGCCTACGTATACAGCATGCAAATTCCCGTCGAGTCACAACAGGTCCAGCCCAGCAACGTGGAGGTCCCTCGACCTGAAATTCTCTAAGTCACCTCGCAATTGCGCGCACTCGTATGCGTAAGCTCGCCATGTACGCAACACGTAATCCCAATTTGCGATCAAGTCCTTCACGGCTCACCTTCATCAAGCTAGCAGTGCACATGATGTTGTCGATTTTTGCACCGCCAGGGCGTCTCCTCTGGTCCCCTTCACTTTTGGGGACGCGCAATTTGTAATCTCCCTCCAGGCAAACGCGCGTGGCCTTAGTGCTGTCGTCGCTACGTCAACAAGCTTGATCAATTTTGTCCTTACCCACCTACTCACCATTTTTTTCCACAACACACTCGCACCCCATGATCCCATTCTTCCTTACGTCTTCTTCTATCCATTCTACATTATCAGCACCTTTGTCACTCTTTTCCACAGCTACCTGGTCCTTTGATATGGCAGTGTCAACCCCCGCATGTATGGGAGCGACAACAGTCACTCGACCGCGACGCACACCAGCAGCGCGTCACCTCTAGTCAGCAGCTTCTGACATGGATACTCTGCCTCCCGGCGTTTGGGTACTCACTCTCTGTATGTCCTCCCCTCTTCTTGCTCACCCCCACCGCCCGTGATGATCCTGCCGTTGGCAGAACCTACACTTTTTGAGACACGTAGAACCGCTACTCTGTGGCTGGTTCGCAGTTGATGATAGAACAAGCTTTCTGATGGACAGCATACCCACGCATTGCGCCGGAAATCTTTTCAAGATCGTATGCTGACAGCTATTTAGTAGTCACACACCCTCTCTGCAAGGTCACTCGAGGCGACCTTTAGCTACGCCAGGCTGTCGCGTCGCACTACCGCCCAGACTATCATCTTCCCTGCTTCCGTACAATGGAGAACAAAAATGCCTCGTGCGCATTCGGATTGGTAAGTTCTCCCCCACTGCTCGCTCGTCACACATTCATGATTACACCTCTGAGCTACCACAATCCTTCCCCTCCTATATAATCTGGTCGCTAGATGATGGTCGCTTTCAGCAGCCTCTCTAGCTTCTCCGGAGGGGGGCATGTTGAAGATTCCAGATCAGTCTGAACCATTACATCGCTCGTCCCGTTCAACTCTACCTCGGATTTTTTGGCATTCGCTAATTGACCTTTGTCATCTCTTCGCAGTCCTCCGCTTTGAGCACGTCGTTCCAGAGGAGAGACTACCGCCGCATTCATCCTGTTCGATTGGATACTTTACTGTCACCTTACGAGCAGCTAAGTCGCCCTCGTCCAAGCACTGTGTTCTCTTTCGATAACTCGCATTAGCACGAGCTGTTACTAGAGGTTTCGTTTTGCATGTCAGTAAGTCCTAAATCTCCACTGTCCTCACCCTCCCCTGCAATGATATCAACCCGATTAGTTTCAAAGAAAACGCTTCTCTTTGATCCGTCGAGGAACGCTGCGAAGGAGTTCGGCCTGACAGCCTTGAGCTCTCTAGCAGCTGTCCAGAGAGACAGCACTAATCTTCTTTGATACGCCAGCTTCTTTCTCCACATGTTTCGTTCCTACTCCTTGATATCCGCTAATCTTTCGTGGTATCTAGACATGGCGTCCGCCACTTCCCCGCCCACACGAGATGCAGTGGTCCAGCTCGGCCAACTCTACGTCGTTTGCCTGGGTGCCGGGTCAACAAGAGCAGTGTCCGCACGAATGTTGCGCCCCATACCGGTAAGTGCCAACTCACTACCCTTACCCACTGCTACCATGAAAACAAACCGGGTTGTGGTTTAGCTTCTCGAACCACCTCCCTTGAGGAACGTTGCAACGGAATTCGGCGTAAAACCCTTGAGCTCCTTAGCTGCTAGTACGAAGACACACTCGACCATGCTGATAATTTGATCTGCCAACACCCCTTCTTACCATCCTTCATGTCTGTTTCCTGGATTTCGCTGATCTCTTTTTATACTCAGAATTACCAAGACAGCGGCTGCATCGTCTCTTTGCTGCTGATTCCGATGGCACACGAAACCACAACGGTAAGTCAACCTCTCCTTATCCTCTAGCGATACCATGATGATACCACCAATATCGTCTGAGTCCGTTGATGACAACAACGTACTCATTCCAGCTGACGTTCACCAATTCTTTCCACACGTGCTCTTCCTTTACTCGATGAGCATCCGCTAACCATTACGCAGGACCGCAGTGAGTTTACACTGTCCGCTCAGCTGACAACTTCTGCAACTTCTGCTTCTTGACGGATCAGATCAGGTACGTAAGCGCGCGTCCACTCCCTACTTTCTCGCAAGATGATCAACCGCCCAACTCCCGAATGGTTCCAAGGTCGCTTCTCAACATGAGGGTCCTAATCGTTGGTTGACGTTTCTGACGAGACATTTCCCCCTCTTTCTGCTGCTCTCCATTGTTGAACTCCGCTGACATCTAAGACATCAACTAGGTAACGGACGCCATCCTCCAAACGCGAATTACATCGAACGTCGCGATTGATCCAACTACGGTACGTCTACATCCTGTCCTTTTCGCAATCGGCAGATGATGAGATAGAGGTGACGCCACAATGGTATCTGATAGTCTGAACTCTTCATTGAAGAAACTACGTCACCACTCTAATGCCTCTCTGCTTCATCCACTCCAAAAGAACGCTTCCTCGAGCCATGCTGATCAGATGTATGTCAAACAGTCTCTCCACGCCTACGACGGCGGCGCTACTTCTTACCAACGCGCGCGATTCCTCCGCACCGTCCTCCCCGAACGCAACCTCAGCCACGCCGGCTCGCGCATACAAGGCAGAAAGAGAAGGATCAGGACACACATCAGCCAACAGGCATTTCGGCATACGTAGCAGTACAGCCCTCAAAAGCTGGTACTTGCACATCATCACGGCACGGGCACGTAGCTTCTGCCTTCTCCATGGCGTTGCTGCACGCCCACGCGCCGAAGAAATTCTGGTATCACTCGACAGCTTTCGCCATGTTTCTTTCCGTACTTGCTATGGCAAGTTACATGGCGGTCTCGACGGTGACATCTGCCCTTTGTAGTAAGACTTGACTGAGCTCAACCTACTCGGTCAGGTTTAAACTAGTGGCTAAATATCAACTTTGTCATAGCTAACCCGCCAGGTAAGTCATCGTTCCATTTGATATCGTCATTCCTGTCACTCTTTACTCACATTGAACAGATCCCCTGGCTGCTCATCGTAGTCCAACTTCTCAGCGGCACGTTTACGGTCCATTGTACTTCTTCCATAAGAACGGTGGCAGGGCGTGTCGCAAGATCAAGATACCTCATCTATCCTCGTGCTTTCCTTACACTCACCGAGAGCATGGATGGACAGTTGAGGCGAGCGCTACCAAGGGTGTCTTGAGCCCCCTTATGGCCCTGGCATAATATCTAGCAGCTTACATTTTGGTGCTACTGGGGGTTTGTTAGGCGTATGATTGAGCGCGAGGACGACATGAAGCTGGACTTGATGCTTCTGAGGGATTTCAATTGGGGTGTATTCGGTAGATGGCTTGTGTGAAGGACTTGGTCGCAGCATGAAACTCACAGTGTACGCCACAGCCTACAGTATCTACTGGTTCCTTTTACGTAGATATCGAAATTGCAACTCTTCCGAACTCTCTCAATTCCCATGTGCCGCAAAAGTGAAGGTGAGCCTGCTAGAGTGGCACTGAACGCACCAAGGACGAAAATCTAAAGGAAGGGAAAACTTGCACCATCACTGTTTCCTCGCCGCGCGACGTGCAATTTTCCGCTTCTCACCGTGAAATCTCCTCCCCCGCTCCTCTTCCCAAAGCGTATGTGTGAGGATGAAGAGGGGGAGCAAGGTAGGTAGGTACAAATCCGCGTCTCTGACTGACCTTTGCTCCTTAACCCATCCACCCACCTACATCAGTATGTATTCTTCTGAACCTTCTATTCCAGCTTCAAATCACAGTGTTAGGGTACATGTAGCTAACATAGATATGCGTAGATCTCAAACCAAATCATCATCACCACCACCATGCCTGCTTCGTGGGAATACGCCCGCGCCATCCACCTCTGCCGCCGCGAAATCGCCTTCCTCAAGGCTGCCCGCCGCCGCCACCATCAGTGCGGGACCTTTACGGTCGACGAGGACATCGCGCTTCGGCGCAAGATTCGCGAGCACCGGCGCGGGCTGGCCGTGTTCATCCCAGCGTACCGGATGGCCGTGGCCCTCGAGGCCAACTTCCAACGTAAGTTTTATCCCTTTCACCTATTTGTGGTAGTCAGGTGTTGTAGCATTTGAAGCTGCATTAGCGAAATGCCTTCATTGACACTACATTCTACTATACTTAATTGAAATAGTGCTAACGTGTAAACAGAGACGTAAAGCCTCGCGCCTGCCTGCCTGCCTGTCTGCCTGCCTGCCTCGCGCCCTCGTCTCCGCGCCCGCGCCCGCGCCTCCTTGCGCCGGTGCCGCCCTTCGGGGACAAGAAGATGACCTCGGGCGGAAACTTTGGGCCCTAGGCCATACGATTTGAATACATTGAATAGAATGTTTCCTCCTCGCCATATTATGCCGTCTTGATCTCCTCTGTGCCAGTGATGTGTATACCTAAAGACTACCTACGCACCTATCAGCTGCCTATCTCCAAACCACATGTATGCCTCACGCCGTGTTATAG